AAGAGGATAGACTCGCTTGTCTTCATCGTACATGGACGAGCATTCCGTCACCGTAAATGGCACAGAGATCGTCACGTTCACTGCCGCTGCGTTGGAGGTGGTGTCTGCAATGATCAGGTCGCCAAGCTCTGAGCAACTGGCACCGTTGCCAAAAGTAAAAAAAGCACTGCTGCCGGTGAGGTTCGATGGGGGGTAAATGTTGATAAAAACGCAAATCGCACAAGCCGGCAGTGGTGGTTGCTCTGGCGGTTGGGGAGCTTTGGGACCAGCCAGCTGTGGCGGGGGGGATGGCGGAGATTTTACGGAAGCGAAGGGATTCGGAGTCACCAGCGAGGGCGGTAAAGTCGGCGGTGCTGGTGGCGGGTTCAGGCGGCAGACGGGGCAGTACTTGGATTCCGACGTGTCCACAAATGCATACCTGTGGGGGGGAATGCGGTGTGGGGGGGGTGAACATTGCCCTTAGAAGTGTGTTTCGTTGGTGTCGAGATAATCCGAAGGTCGGAGAGTCCAGGCGCACGCAAGCTGGCACCATACCCATCCTGACCCCTGGCCTGACCGCCCAAGACCGCAGCTCTACAAGCTTGAAGTCGCTCAACAGCAGCCAAAAGAACCTTCTAAGTCTTTTAATTCTGATGTATTATATATCATACCCGCCTTCTGGATTTTGGATCCCTCCATGAAAACATCCATTCTGTCACGTCGCAAAACCTCGCACACTCCATTTTTGCAAATGGACGTTTCCGTACTACACACGCTTCCTGTTGCCGTACAACTACCTCCTTCCCATGTCCCCTGCCGTACCTGCAGCCCCGTGCCGGGTAGCCTCTGCACAGGTCCGCCCAAGTCGAGCACGCGGGGTAACCCAAAACGCAAATGGTGCTGCCTGGAAAGGTGGCGTTGCTGGCCTGCAGATTGTAAATCTTCAACTCGTAACCTGTAAAAGCATATAATGACCGCCGATATGACATATGAGGTCATCCAGGCCATTTAGGCGCAGAACGAGCTCAAAGTCAACCGTGTTGTTGTTAATTTGAAAGAAAGGAATGCAGTATGAGTAGTTCCGTGACGAAGGATTACACGGCACACACGCCTCCACAGACCTCCTCCCTCATTACAGTCATTTCCCGCGACCTCACGATAGATACCGACCAGACAAGAGTTCTGAATGGCATCTTCCATTCCGAGTTAGGTCTACCCCGATCTCCCTGCCAGATCTTCCTATCCCAATCTCCCTGCCAGATCTTCCTATCCCAATCTCCCTGCCAGATCTTCCTATCCCCAATCTCCCTGCCAGATCTCCTTGCAAGATCTCCCTGCCAGATCTTCCTATCCCCAATCTCCCTGCCAGATCTTCCTATCCCCAATCTCCCTGCCAGATCTCCTTGCCAGATCTTCCTATCCCCAATCTCCCTACCCAGGTCAGATGTCACGCAAGGGCCGCAGGTGGCGCTCTAAAAATGCAATGCTGCCGCCGTTCTCCTTGAAACAGTCTAGAGACTTTTCGACGTACCTGTGTCGTACACGTAAGTGTCCCATGAGTAGTGTATTTGACCGTTGACCGTTACACCGTAAATATTAGCCCGATCAGCACACTGTGCGTTCGTGTCCAGTGCTAACTTCTGCACGCTGTCTGTGAGCCCTCGGCAACACGCCAGATTGGGGTCACAGCCGATGTAGGCCACGCGAAAGCAAGTTAGGACAGGCTTCGACCGCTGGACGACGGGGTGAAAGCGCGCCCGTTTGTGCGTCGGCGGGGAGGACGAGAGGAGAGGAGAGGTCGACCCAAGAAGACCAAGATGCAAAGCGCACGGGCGCGCGACGCGTTAATACTTGCATTTGAAATGAATACAAATTGGTACAAATATATTACAAATGCAGTCGGGTAATATACCGAAGCGCATGACAGACGCAAGCAAGCTTCATGTACACAGCAGCTGCTGCGAACAGCACTGCGACTGCTGCAGCAAGCCTGATAAACGGTGTTTAAGGTCCCGAGTTTGCCGAATGTTATAATAATAGCTGTTCCGCCTGTCGGCCTGCTGTAATGGCTCGATGGTAAATTGATATATAAACAATTCTACATGAGGCGCAACGGTCCGCTGAGTGGAGGGCACCGTGGTGAGGTGGGAATCGCGGTGGCCCAAACAAGCTTGCATGCACGAACATGACAGTGATGATGATGATGATGATGATGATGATGATGATGATGTTGTTGTTGTTGTTGTTAATGATGATGATGGTGGTGATGATGATGATGATGATGATGATGGAGGTGGGGATGATGGTGGTGGCGATGGGGATGAAAATGGAGGTGGGGATGGTGGTAATGATGAGGATGATGATAATGATGATGACGATGGATATGAAATGTTCAAAAATCATTTTCGTGCAAGTAAACGCCATGGAGCGCACTGGCGGCCCTGGCGGCCCTTATTTTCCCGGTGTTCCGCTGTGCCGCATTGTTCGTTCGCGAAACGCGCAGACGTCACCTGTCTCACCTGCACAAGCTGCACAGGTAACAGGGTGTACGGATTGCAGGTGCAGTCGTACGCCTCGCATTTGCACCAAGGAAAACCCGGTTTGCTGCTGGTCAGCAGTCGACGTCCCGGGCGGCGGATGAAAGAAGGTGCTGCGAAATCCTCATTCTCGACGGCCAGTTTGGTCGCCGATACGAGGCCTTCAAAACAGTGCATCAGGAGTTAATAGTAGTTTTCTAAAGCAAAGGGTTCAGCTGGGGTTACAATTTGCATGTTGAGAAGACTCCTGCACGGTGCTGTAGCTCAAACAACGAGAGGTTTTAGTGATTCGATGAAGGGGCGGTTGCTTAAAGCGGGATTGTTATACAATGCCTGCTGCTTGTCTTATGAAAAGAAGGAAGATAAATGCCAATGACTCGGCAAAGCAATAATGTGCCAAACACGAGGAATGCGTGGCACAAGCAAAAGCCACGAGAATGCGAAAGCTTTCTTACCGCTGCCGGTTCCGGTCGTCGCCAAGGACAGCAAGACTTGCAGCAGCATAAAAGCCAGTCGGAAGGCCATCTCGTCCCCAATCCTAAATCTCCCCAAAATCCTAAATCTGGTACAATTTGAGGAAAGTTATGGGCAGTGACGAAACTGTAAAACTAAAGCGGGCAACGAGAGGCTGTCAGAGGCGGTTAGGCGGCTACAAGAGCTTCGCGCCCTTTCGCGCCACGTTCTAGATCTCAAAAGAATGCCATCCATCTTAGCAACCGTATTCAAAAGAGACTATTTGGGAGAAATTAAATTAACTGGAAAATGAAAATGAACCAACGGGAGTGCGCAAAGAGCATTCAACGCTTTTATTAATCGCGCGCGTAGCAGAGGCGCGCGCCAAGTCGTTTGCGGCATTCCCCTCCTTCCACAGAAACCTAATTGGCTTACCTTACAAAAGTTGATCAGTTGAATTCCCCCCAGAAGCCAGACCACTACTTTTTTCCCTGTTTTCTTCTTCGCTGAGCGACCTAGCGGAGAGAAAGCCCTTTTTGGCGCGAACCGTTACGGAGCTCCGCGATGGCTGCTCCTATCCTGTACAGACCGTCTGCATATCTGCAAGAGCCATTAAGATCTATGTATGTGATTTGATGTCGCTTACTGGCTTTACCGTCTCCGTGATGTCAACAAGTTGGTGTTACGACGATTCTTGCTAAATGCCTAATAGCTACATATATGCAAGATAAATAATTTCTTGCTAAAGCTCCCACGTCACACAATACCGCACAATTGCTTTCTCCTCCTATGAATTCTAGCTTCGCTTCGAACGGATGCGGGGAAGCAGTACGGGCAAGGTACAGGTAGTCTTCCCCCCGAGCGAGAGCCATACGCAGAGGGCTTATATATGATATACTACATAAAACCAACTGCCTTTGTTATTAGCCCGGAGCCCTTGACGAAACAAAGTAAGCTTCGGCTTTTGGATTTTAATTGTGTCGCTCATTACGTTTCTGCTTTGACGACCATTTGAAAAGGTAACAGACGTCCTCAGACGTGTACGGTATGCCACATAACTCCTTGTGCACCCTGGGAAGTGCATTACCACGTGGTAATGGCGGTTACAACGATAGCTTTGCCAGAGCGGGACTCAATTTGATCGTTAGTTCGCGTACTCAGAACCAACAAGTATATTGTATATCATACAATATTATATATAAAGCTTTGTTCAATAACTTTGCCAACCACGTACATATGCGGACCGCATGGTTTCAGATCGCGGCTGCAGCGAAGCAAGGTTTATCGCTAACATTCCCGTCCTTCTAACCGAAGGCCGAAGACCGACGGTATTTACTTATCGCTCATTTACCATATTATCACCTTGCATAAACTTTTCCCCCATCTTATCGTTGTTGGACGTAAAGTGCATTTGGCATGCGCGCGTGCGTACGTAGGTAATTTGCATCCTTCGGAATAGAAGACACAGACACGATCTCGAGATATAGAGGTACATAGATACATATACATCAGTATATATAGAGAGAGATTGGATATAGATGTATTACAGAAACACCATATCATCACCAGATCAGCCACGCACTGCATTACTGCTCCAACTCAGCAATGGGATGGCGTACGGCAGCAATGACGTAATCACCCCATTCACCATTCGGCAGATATCGCCATTCAACCTTCCCCCATGCGGGCCCCCCCGCTCCTCACCCTCAAACGCACTTACATACATACACACATAGACCTCCCTTGTCAGCATTTCAATGGCCTGCATCCCCTGCGCCCCCTTACGGTCTGCATCCCCCCGTACTGCACATTCCCTTGCTCGGCTTGTCCGCCAAGGCTTTCCTTTCGCGTCGCTCTCCCTTTCCCCCCAGACGCTAGCGCCTCTTGCTGCCGGAACTGCCCAGAAATCTGGGTGCGATACACACCCTGGGTCTGCACCCTGCGCCATGTGGGGATGTGTGGACTGCAGCCGCACAACCTAGCGGTGGCCTCTCCCCCCCCGGCCCCTCCCCCTCAAGGATATTCTTCTCAAACCCTGGCTGCCTTCCAGCCACCCCCTGGACTTCAGATGCAGCACTCTAGGGTGCATGTGGGTTATGGGGGCAGCGGGCCGATCAATGCTGATTAAGCCTCAGTATTTCTTCTACGTTCACATACTTAGGCACAGTAGTAGCCTCATCATCCATTTCATTCCATTTCTTAGGTAGTCCGAGTTAATCCTTCTCTTTCTCTCTCTCCGCAGCTGCAATATCTGTCCTGCATGGCCTTTACGTAAGTACAGTAGCGCACACCGAGAGGAGCTGCGAGGTGCGGAGCAAGAGAAGGAGTGTGTCGTCATCCAGCCTCTAGCCTCGCTACGGGAGAATGGAGCTACGATAAATGCGGGTAGAGGTTATTAGACAGACAGACAGACAGGCAGTTAGATAGATAGATGCATGCATGCATGCATGACGGGCAACCAGCCCGATGGCTACAACCCATTTTTGCAAAGGGCCACGCAAGAGCTTTTTACACTACAAGAGATTCTTAGGCTTCCGTGCTTGCCGGCTTGCTTGCTGTCGCACCCGCCCGCTACACGCCGCCCTAGGCCGACCCCCACCCCCACCCCCACCCTCACCACTGATAAGCCGGTAAACCAGCGGCAGCCGGCAGCCAGGGTCATTAAAGGCCACTTCACGCCCCCCACTTCAGCTCCTCTCTCCCCCTCACCTCCCACTTCCCGGGGCCCCCAGGACTCCCAGCGCTCCCCTCCCCTCCACCCCCCTTGTCGGCCGTCATACCCAGGCCGCACTCGTAACCAGCTGATATGCTGCTGCGGCTGCTGCTAGTGCTGCTGCTGGAGGATGAGAAGGATCGACCAAACCATCTTCTACCTTCCTTTCTCACACACGGAGGCTCTCGAACAGCTGCCCCCTGCATCTCACATTGCTCTCCGAAGTTACCACACTTCTTCTCTTACATAAGACTCGGCCCCCCTCCTTTTCCCCCCCTCGAACAACCTTTGACCCGGGCCCCCCTCCGTCTCTCCCCTCCCCCTTACCAAGGCCGTTCAAAACCATCCCATGTCTCACCCCTCCCCCTCCCCTCCCCTTCACACGCACTCTAATCCAACACCAAAAACACCATTCACGCTCCCCTTAACAGCCCCCACCGTCATCAACCCGCAGCCCGGGACCTCACACCCGGGCGGGGGACCAACAGCAGAAGCACCAACCCACAAGCGCCCGGCGACTGCTGTACAGCTCTGTCGAGGCTTTGTACGGATTTCCCCGCAACTGCCAACAAAGCCCCAACGTATGGAAGCCCGCTGATGCAGCCGTCAAGCGCTACGGCCGCACGTCGTCACGGTCACCTTGTGCTGTGTGTTTTCCAAGCGCTCCACGCGCCGCCGCATTCGCCCCTCTTGACACCACACACACCCCTGGCGCCCCCCGGCACGGGGTCTTAGGGTTTACCTCGTCCTCCCCTCCTACCCCCCCCCCTTCCAACAATTTTTTTAAAAGCCCCTTCTTACCCCACCCACCCCACCCCTAACACCACCTTCAACCATACGCCGCCTCCATCCCCAGCCCCCGCAATGCGCGCAGGAAATCCTCCGGGACCGGCTGCTCGAAGCTCAAGCGCGCTCCGGTCACGGGATGCGTAAAACCCAATGTACGGGCGTGCAGGGCGGGGCGGCCCAGCTGCTCCACGACCTGCCGTACTTGGGTCTTTGGCGTACAGGTTGACATACAGAACGACAAAGGGTCGGGTGAACGAGGGAGTGTTCGAGTAGAGCACAGCTCACACGAAAAAAAGGAGTGTGGAGGGGGGAAAGGGGAAAAAAGGGGGAACAGACGAGCGATGCTGAGGGGGAAGAGGGGGAAAAAGACAGCGTCCCCGACTAAACAGTTGGAGCCCATGCAAACCCCCGCCCCGCCAAACTCCAGTGCTCAATGACAGTACCGGCACCCCTTCACACCAAAGCACCGCACACACGCACCTAAAACCCCGCCGTACAAACACAACATATCGTGTTTATCGTGTACAAGGCCCCTATTGCGCGACACAGCGGAACCGAAACCCTATCGCTCTAACGCACACACCCAAGCATTCGCATTTCCACCCACCACTTCTAACGATGACAACGAGTCTAAGCTGCTGCCGCGCGACACGGCAGCAAGCGCCGCAGGTGCCGTACCGCCGTACGTGTCGTCGCCTAAGAGCGGGTGGCCAATGTATTTTGCATGGACCCTGCAGAACGCGGTCCCCAGGATCACAACACAGCGTCCACCACATGGTGGTGGAGGGAGCATTCCATTCCATTGGGCGGGGGGGGGGTAGTAAGAAGACGAACCACTGACGGTTGAAGCAGATATACCAGCAATAGACGGGTAGTCCAGGATAGAAATCTTCAGGGGCGGCTGACAAGTGCGGCATCAGGAAATACTTGAAGGGCCTTGGGAGGTAACAGCCGAGGCCACGCGAGGCTGGCAATAACGTAATCACGAAATAGATAGCGGTAGAAAATGCCGTAAAAAAAATAGAAGAAAATCCTCATGCTGGACCAATACCACCCTCGGTGTCCTTAGGTGTCACTGAGCTGTTGTCTGCTCTGTTCCCTCATCGGCCCCCGTCCCCCTCCCCTTCCCCTTCCCGTTCTCATCCCCATTCACCTGATTTGATGTGTACGACCCGTATCTAACTTCCAACGGACCAATGCCGCACCGCCGCCAGCCAGCGGCGCCATGACGGTGTAGTTGCTACCTGCCGTACGCCCACGTCCACTGCCGTACGGTGCGGCTGCGGTGGTGCGGCAGCGGCGGCAGCACGGAGCAAAACACAGAGATATGACACGCGGGCAGCGAGTGGAGTGAATCGCACGGTGGCACTGTGGCACATGCCGCGGACAGTCTAGTGGTGATTGGGGGAGAGGGGGGGAGGAGAGAAAACCCGCGGATGCCCCACAGCAGCTGGCTGAAATCCCCCTTCCCCCCAGGGCCCAGTGGCATACAAACATACATACATACATGCATGCATACATGCACATACATACATACATGCACATACATATATGCATACATATATGCATACATATATGCATACATACATACATACATACATGCATGGGGAGGAACTGTCTCACCCGCCATGCGCTTTCGATCTCTGGGATCCCGACATATGTTAGTTTCCACGCGGCCGTTGGGTTGTACCGGACAACCGACCGTGATGGAGTCGTACAGACGGTCGACCTGCAATTCCATTGCACGTCTGGTTGTACGTTCGATTACTTGTATTAATTGGGGGGGTGTTCACATGAGCAAATGCCGTACGAAGCATACGCTGCAAACATATGTCCCAAGAGAACAAGAAATCACACATGACATTTAGTATTATCATTAATATTGTCATCATCGTCATCATCATCATCAGCAGCAGCAGCAGCATTATTTTTTCATTATTTATCATAATTATAATATAATATAATATAATATAATATAATATAATATAATATAATATAATATAATATAATATAATATAATATAATATAATATTATATTATTATTATTACTCCAATATCGGGTGACGCCAAAACCAACATTATCGATACCACGATACAAACGCCGCAACAGTATGAACCACTCACCGTCCGCGCCTTGAACTGCGCCTGCAAGAAAGTAAACGGAAAGGAAAACCGCACAGACAGACGTACAGATACGTGGTCGAGTATCGCCGTACTATGCCGCGATGGTAGTTCATCAGCGAGTCAGTTAATTAGTTGGGTGGTTGATTGATGGTGCGCAGCGTATTTCAATCCCCCTTCCCTTCCTTTTCCGCCCGACACACACACATACACACACAGCTCTATCGGGTATTGGCGAATTATGATCTCCACTGTTCATCCAGCCCTGCCGCCCAGCACCTCAGCTTGGACTGGAAGGCCTTTCCCTCCTCCCTCCCCCCTCGTCCCTCCTTTCCCCTCCTTCACCCCCATCACCCCCTCCCCTTACCTCCCTAAACGTGTGTGTTGTTCAGGGCTCCCGCTTGCCCATTACCGCCTTCCACCCCCTCCACACATACATACACATACACACATACACATCTCCCCCGTGCCCCCCTTGCTTTCCCCCACCCGCACACACGTACCTGCAGCCGGGTTAGTGCCACCTCCGTCTTTGCCACCACCAACAACCCGCTCGTCCCCTTGTCCAAGCGGTGTACGATTCCCGGTCGCAAACAGCTACTGCTGCTAAGACTACTTGTGCTGCAGCTACTGCTACTGCTAGTACCAATGCTAGTTATAGGTCCGCTACTGCTCCTACTGCTGCTACTCATTTGAGCGTCGCCACTGCCGGCAACTGTCAGGTTGCTGCTGCTGCTGCTAATGCCGCGGCTACTGCTCCCCTTGCCAGCGCTACTGCTTGCTTTGAAGCTGGCGCTGTTCGTCACAGCTAATGTACGTCGCCAATCATCGCCATCGGGACCATGCACATCGTCCAGGTCGCCGTCACCGCCGTCAAAGTCGTCGTCATCGTCGCCGTCGTCGTCGGCGTTGTCGTACAAGTAATTTTCCCGGCCGCCGCTGACGCCGCCGCCGCCGCTGTCTGGCGCTGAAGCCGACCCCGTACCCAAATCTGGATCCAGATCTAAACTTGAATCCAGGTCCAAAGCTGGCAATGCGCAGTGATGCAGCAGTGCGTTGACCAATGTGCCGTGGTGGTGTCCGGGGGCCACGTGTACGACCATACCTGAAGGCTTTGGGGGTGGGGTGGGGTGGGGTGATGTGGGCGGTGGGGTTTGGAGGCGGAGGGAAGAAGGCGAAGAGGAGGGGGAGGCGCCCCCACAAGGGGCAAGACAGAGTGCAGAGTGGCGATTGGGGGCCGGGGGGGGTGGACACTGAGGCCCAGGATGGGGGGCGTTGCGGGTGCGGGTGCGGGTGTAGATGTAGTGATGGATGGCGAGGGATGCAGGGCGGGGGCAAGGAGAAGTTACAAACACACACACACACACATACACACACACAGACCAGCATCCCAACTCGACCTCAGCGCCTTAAGAGCGGAAACGACGCATGTGTGCGCGCGCACATTGTCACATTGTCGCATCATTCCGTACTGTGCCGTACACCTCCACGGCAATAAAGACCGTGTCGTACCTTATTTACGACAATGACGTGGTCATCTTCGTACTTGATATCCAGCGGAATAGCCTCTGGCAGGGCCTGTGTCCTCGCCGTCCGCACGTGTGTGTGTATGTATGTATGTGTGTGAGAGTGTGTTTGTTATGTTTGTGTGTGTGCGGATAACAGGCAAGGAAGAGCAACAGATACGGGAGGGCAAGAGGTGGTTTGGTTCTTAGGGTTTTGGCGTCGGCTTGTCGATTGGTACGTGGTTCGCTTGTGTGAATGAAGGGTCGGCGAGTGTGGTTGGTGAGTTCAACCTGGTGGTGGTTTAACCTTTCGGATCGAAATGTTCGTGTCATGACGTCAGGTCTTCCATCATGTCACAAAATCCCCTCTGTGTGTGTATGTGTGTGTATGTGTGTGTGTGTATGTGTGTGTGTATGTGTGTGTATGTGTCCCCCGGTGGCCCCGGTGTCGGGTAGTGCGGGATGTGCGGAAGACAGATTTAGCCACGGAGCGGCAAACGTCCTTAAATATAAGCGTCATCGGCAACGTCATTCCCCTCACAACACGGCCCCCAGTTCTCTCACCCTTGTCATCAGACCCCACCAACACATCTCGTCGCGCAAAAAACAAAAACCCCTCATCCTCAACCCACCCTTGCCTCGAACAACCTACCCCTCACCTGCATGGGTGGTGGGGGCTGCAGGCGGCACACAACACAATCTCCGGCTTTAAGTTGTTGAGAGGCCTTGGCCGCAGGCTGGCCGTTGACCAGCACCAGGCCCGCCGCGATGCTGGCTTGGATTTTGGCACGGGAGACGTCCTGGGTTCGAGCCGCGGCAGCTGCACTAGCAGAAGCGGCAGCCAGGTCTGCGGCGATTTGGGTTGCTAGAAACGTGTCCAGTCGGAGTTTAATGGAAACTGCCTGAAAGATAATGGGAAGTTGGCGTTGAGGAGGAGGATGGTTGTGTGTAAGACAATAAAGCAGTCCCAAATGGGGACGAGGGAGGGATGGTTGAGGAAGAGTATAGTGTGCTGTTTCAGTGTATAATGCATAATGGTGTAGATTGAACACCTGCCGTTGTCACGGCCGGCAGCAGCGGTGCTCACCTGCTTGGCCATAACTCGGAAGGTAAAGCTCGAAAGTGTGCCGCTGTCCGCTGTCGATGCAAGCATAGCCTGAACGCCAGGGCGGAGTTTGGGAATGCGAAATGGGATTAATTTTTGGGTGGTTAAAGAATTCTGAATCTTGCAAGATGCCCACCTGTGACCGGAACTTAGGGCTCGGCCATGTTGGATGGCAAGGGCGGCGACCGTTAGGACACGACCATGCACCACGAGGTTGTGGCCTCCATGGCCTAGCTGTATGGTGTGACATCTTATGTGGATAGTTGCTTCACGCTTGCGCCAGGCACTTGTAACAAGCTTGCGTGCAAGCAAAAAGGACCAAAACAGCCTTCTGCTGTCCTACCAATATCATAAGCTTGTAAACGTTTCATATGGAAACATTTTATGATGCAATTCCGGACACGTGTCGTTTATGCTTCGCGCAAAGCTGCTCACAATAGTTTTGCTGGGAAGGGCCCGGAAATGTGTGCACCTAGCAAAAGTAACAATGAGGACAGAGTTACGATTATGTAGCTTAGTAAACCTCCCTTCCACAGTTTCAGTAGTTCAGTTCATTATTGACCAACTGCCGGAAAACGGTGAACGACCAACGGCAGCTCCCCAGAAGGCTTTACATGTTTCAAATCCCCGAACCAATTCCCCATATATATCCGAGGCTTCAATTTTTCAGGTGGCTTATCAAACAACTGCACCCTTTTTACCCTCTTTTCTCGCCCCATCGCTGCACCTCGCTATCTGTCCGCAGTTACTCCCAGCAAATTTGATCGGGGTTCTCAGCTCACGCTGTGTTATCACGCCTCATTTCCCGCGCTCCAACTCTTGTCGCCCGCAGCTGGGGGATATTATCTTGGCAAGTAAGCTGCGCAGGACTGCGCACATCTCCCCCGGAGGGTGGCCCTTCTCTGTCAACGGCGTTGCCTTACGCCAACCCAGTTTCAAACTGCACCAGCAGTCCAAGCAGTCAAGTCCAGCCTGGGCAAGTAAGCTGCGGGACTGGCCAGGGTAGAAGCTGCTTGTGTGAGGTGCGTGTGCTTGGTTTGAACTTTCGTGTGCATGCGTAAATCAGGATCCAAAAATTCGAACTGAAGAGGGAATTACAATCCAAACGTCCTCCTACCGTGCACAGTACCCTATGCGGCTGTCCAAAATACGAAGTCAACCTTTGTTTTAAACATAACGTGTTCACCAACATAGGTAGCCCTGGCAAACCAAATTTGAAATTCAAATTGGGTCAACATTAACGACAAGTAAAAGCCAGAATCATATTCATAGTCAAAGGCACTCGGCGGTTCGAACTCACTCACGTCAAAGCAATCGCAAAACAGGGCGGTAAAACGCCCAAGTTGTATCTGCTGTCCTTACGACTGCCCCGTGCACGTATGTATGTATATACCCATGCTAGTATGCATGTTCGCGTGTGCCACATGTTCTCCTCCATCCTGCATAACAAAACATTGTCCCCATACGGCGTACACAACAACACCAATCCTCCTGCGCAGCACGGCGCTCAGCAGTTTAATTGTATTGCCGAATTTGGCCAATCCTTTCTGAAGCTCCTACAGGAAGGCGCGGCGTGGAGGTCAAACCCCCTTCGCTTAGCAGTTAAGCAGCCACGGCTGCTACTGCTGCTGCTCCTCAAAAAAAGGATTAAAGGGAAATGCACATATGTCTGGCCTCCAAAACCATGGTTATTGAGCCGCGTAACGGGGACGATGGGGAGAGAAGGGGCAGAGAGAGAGAGAGAGAGAAAAGAGAGAGAGAAAGAGAGACAGCCGACCTAACCGCAGTGGCAGAAGAAAAGAAGAAGACGCGCGCGGCTCATTCGCCGCCGTCGCTGCCGCCCTCCGTCGCATGCAACCACCAACGTTTCCCGTACAAAGCAGTGTCGTGCAAGGCTGTAGTATACGCTCAACTTCATCAATCTTTAAACCCTTCAGGCGTCCGGGATCTTCCCCCCCCACCAGCACTGGCCCCCACCTTCTACACGAACTTACCCCGCACTACTGCTACTGCTATTGCTACTGCTACTGCTACTGCGTCACTCTCCCTCGCCGACCGCACATCCTCCTCCGTCATATCAAATGAATAGTACGACAGTACGACAGCACATTCACGGCCCTTAACGCAGTTCCAACGCTTGCTTCCGTTTTGGCACAAGTTCAGCTCCCACCTCACAAACAACGTGCGCATACAGACACACACACACACATACAGACAGACACACACACATACAGACAGACAGACACACATACGTACAGACAGACACACAAACGTTACTCTCGCGAAGTCCTTCAGTATTAGAAGGGGGAAGCACAAGGCGGCGCGGAGGCGGCTAGTAAGGCCCGTTAAGATATGTATCGTGTGTGTATGTGTGCGTGCGTGTGTGTGTGTGTGTTCGTGCACCCGGGAGTAATAGAACCCGCGCGGCTGCCGCACATACACATACATACATACATGCATGTGCACACACATACCCTTACCCAGGAATGCCGTCCCAGCCGCCAGTAACGGCCCCCCACAACTAAACACGTGTTACACAAAACTTCCCGAAATCCGCAACCCCCTCGTCTATCTGTATGTCTATCTAAACACAAGACCGTCACAGCGCTCAGCGAAACAATTCCAGGGACAGCGGCGGCGGCGGCGGCGGTGGATGGAAAGATGTGCCCCGATGTGAACGGGGACCTCATTGCATATGCACATACTCGTCGCCAGCCATACGCGGAGCTTGCAGGTGCTGGAGAGGCGTTTTTTTAAGAGGCCACGTGTGCGGTGGTGGAGAGGGGCGGCGGGCAGGTTGGGAATATTGAGACAGCGCCCCGGAGAGAGCGGTGGACGAGGAGGAGGAGGCGTGTGTGTGTGTGTGTATTCCCCCGTGATCATCGTGGCCTCGCCGCCGCCAGCTGACGCAGCGGATACGTCCCTCCTCGTGCCATTTGTACGGAAACGCAAGCCGATCGTACGGCACCGTACCCTGTCAAACCGCTCCACGTTCTACCCTTTCTCTTATCCACCACTCCAGCGTCGTCGCTCGAGGCGGCAGCAGCAAGAAGCACAGCTGCTGCCGTTTCCTGTGCCGTAACTCGTACGATCGGTCCTTTACTTCATCTTGGTGATCTACGTGCCCCTGCAACGAGTCGCCGCGGCCTCCGCCGCCACCTGCTGATGCTGATGCTGCTCAAGGACTCGGCTGCCCGCCGACGGCGCCGCCACCTGTGGACTTAGCTCCTTCGGCCGCAGCCGCCGCAGCTGCTGCATGATGCAGTGCCCGTCACGCCGCCTCCACCTGCGCCGTACAGCTGCCGTACAAAAACTGCCCCCACGACGCCGGCGCTACCGTGACCGCCGTACTGGTGGAGGCGATGGCGTGTCGGTCCATGTTGCTGATGTTGGCGGCAAAACCAGTTTGTGGCCGGGTCTGCTCTGTCGGGTACGGCAGTGCTTCTGCTTCCGTCGCCGCCGCCACCGCCGCTGTAGCCGCCGCGGGTCGTACGGCCGCTGACGCCGCCACAGCGGCGGCGGCGTCGCCCAGCGGTGCGGCTGTGTCTGCCGGGGGTGGTGCCGCACGCGGTGCCTTGGGTGGTCTCCCCCGACTACGGCGGATCGTTAACACCGTTGTCGCTGCCGTTGCCATTGCTGCTGTTGCTTCCGTTGCCGCCGTTCCAACCGAAATGCCCCTCCGGACAGCACCCGCCGACTCACATACCGCATGCCCCTCCTCTCCGCCGCCGCCGCCCTGGCCGCCGCCGCCGTCGCCCTCGACTGCCGCCGTACCAGAGCAGGTTCCCCTTTCCTGCACGCCGCTCGATGTGTCGGCCGCTGCCGCTGCCGCTGCCGCGACGGGTCGCTGACCTGCTCCATGAGGTGGTGGCGCTAGGACATCGCCCAGCACCGGCACCGCTGTAGCTGCTGCCGTGACATCCGGTGCCGCGGCGGCGGCTGCGTCGGTGGCCCCCGACGGCTGCGGGGCCGGCGGCAGCGCCAGAGGGTGTTTTCGCGGCCGGCCCCGGGGACGCTTCGTCGGTGCAGGTTCTTCCGCCGCCGTCGCCGAGTTGCTGGGAGCCGAGGACACGGCGCCGGCGGCGCCGCCGCCAGCTCCGCAGACGACGGTGCCAACGGTTGTCGGACGTTTCGGAGGCCGTCCACGCCGCCGTGGCGGCGCCGCCACTGCCGGAACCACGCTCGCCACAGGCAATAACCCGACCCCACTGCCGGCGCCGTGACCTCCAGGCTGACCGCCGTCGACACCAGTCCCCAATGCCTGGGGCGGCCGCTCAGCTGCCGCCACCGTCGCCGCCGCTGCGGCAGCAGCAACAGCAGCAGCAGCGGCGGCAGCGGCGACAGCAGCAGCGGCGGCGACCGTGGCCGCTTTCGGCGGGCGGCCACGTCGCCGCGGCATTGCCGCCGCCGCCGGCGCGGCGGCTGCGTCGCCGCCAGCTACACCCTCAATGCACTGTCGCTTAGCGTCAAGCTCCCCCGCCGCCGCCGCCACCGCCACCGGCGGCGTGTCGACAGGCAAGGGCCGCTTCCGCGGCCGGCCCCGGGGTCGCTTGGGTAGTGCTGGTGCCGCCGCCGCCGCCGGGTCAGTCACCACCATCGCGGCCGCCACCGCCGCTGCTGCGGCAGCCGACGGTACGGCTTTCGCCATCATCCGCCCGCCTCCTGCGCGACCCCCGCCGCCTCCCCCCCAAGCCGCCGCAGCGGTCGATTCCTTACCTCCCCCCTCATCCTCCTCTCCTTCGCCGCTGCCGCTGCTGCTGTCGTTGAAGATGGACGGAGGGAGCAGCTGAGGCGGCACCAAGTGCCTGTGCCGCGAAGGCCGGTTGGAGTTGGTTGGGTATGATGTAAGAGGTAGTTGGTGTCGGTTAGCATCGGCGGTTGCTAAATTCAGGACGACCAACCCAACGAAAAGGACGGCGACCCGACAAAGCCCAATAACAGAAGATTTGAAGTCGCCCAACAAAAACCCACGCGGCAGGCCCCCCCTCAATCCAGAAGAGCTTACCGCGGGCGATGCATGCACATCCTTCCCTCCCTCCTCCCTCCCTCTCTCCCTCCCTCCCTCCCTCTCTGCCCCCCTTCCCCGCTCACCGGAACAGGCGCATGTCAATGAAGACGCTGTCTGGATTGCACTTGCACACCGCCGACTTAGCGCCCACCGGGACCCACCATCGAGTCCCGAAATTAACCGACTCGGCGCAGTTGTAGCCGCAGTTGTAGCCGGCGTGGTAGGCACCTGCGGCAGGTAGGTAGGCAGGTAGGTGAGAGGGTAGGTGAGAGGGTAAAGATAGACGCAAAAGGTATAAAAAAAACGGAAATTTGTGTTAGTAGTAGATGAAGAAGGATGAAGAAAAAGATATAACAGAGATTCAATTGAAAGGCAATTGAAAGGCAAAGTCGACAAGAATTTATGGACGCTGCAAAGAGCTGATGACAAAACAAGTAATTTGAAAACAATTTGGACCCAAAACAGGCAATTCCATGGTCTCATCAAACCACCTGACGGCACGGCTCAGATTGTTGTACAGGAGGATTTATCGTGATTTACCGGATCGGATTCCCCGATGTCGGATCATTTAGAACATACCGTACGAACGTACGTACCGGGAAAATTAATGATGAACTCGCGAGGGTGTTGTACGGTTTTGATGTACGGAATGGCGTGTGTATCTAGAAGCTGCGGGCTAATGATGAGCTCCTGCCCCGGGAGCCGGGGGGAGGGGGGGGTTGGGAAGACAACAGAGGGGTGGGGCGGGCGGGGCGGGCGGATGGGAAAATTGTATGACAGGGGTACGACAGGAAAAAGTGAAGCGCTCGTTCGGTGGCGGCACTGTGGCCTGGGAGCGGCAAAACAGACCAGCAGACAGACAGACAGGCAGATGCACATATACACACGTTACGAATGCTGTACATTAATATGTGGATGAAAAGAAATAGGAAAACAACCGCATCATCATTTCGCATCGGGTGGAGCAAGCAAATGGATAGGGAAAAAACACGTAAGGAAAAACGTGACGCCGTACCGCAGTACAACTGCCGTACCTTGTGTCGGAAAAACTCTTGACAGGCCTTGAACATGTCCGGCAGCATGCCCTTCACAAGGCCCTCGAAGCGCTTGCGGCTGCACGGCGGAATGCAGTACCATTGCTTGGGCGCTCCGAAATGCAGGTAGTTGACGGAGTAAAGGTCCACATCCTCCGTATGCCTGCGGGGGAGTTGGGAGTTGGCAGTTGGGAGTTAAAGATTGACAAAATTAGGCCGGGAAGAAGGGGAAGAAGCGGGAGAAGGGGAAGAAGCGGGAGAAGGGGAAGAAGCGGGAGAAAAGTGTTTTGTAGCAGGACTTGGGGAATTCGGGGGGAATTGTCAATGCACCTTCACCCCCCCCACACGCCTCACCAGGCAAACGTGCTCCTCCAAGTTCCAAAGTACAAGTACGGCTCGCTGACTCCGGGAACGGACTGACCCGCCGCGTCCAATACCCGGGTAAGGACCGTGTCAAGTCGGCGCAGGTTCCATCCCTGGGGGTTGGTTAGGTAGTTGGTTGGTTGGTTGGCAACAACGGTGGGAAGGGGGGGTTAGTTGGCGGTTACAACGTCATGACCTGATGGGAAACAAACTCCTAGAGGTTTTCAAAAAGCTCCGGTCCGCCATCCCATCTCTTCTTCCAGGAGGAGGAGGCGGCAACAGCAGCCAGTGCAAGGGGTCTTGTTTATCTCTTGACTGTGTGTAAAGCGAAGAGCCAAGACGACGGACATCTAAGATTGTCCTTGAATTACGAGAGCTGACTCTTTTTGAGGCGGAAGAAGTGGGTTTCTTAAGGTTTAGTTTCAGAACGGGTTTATGAGGGTTAGGGATTCCGTGTACGACTTCAACGTTGAGAAATAACAGGCACTGTGTGTGCTGTGTGTCTGTGTGTGTGTGTGTATGTGTCTGTGTGTGTGTCTGTGTGTGTGCGTATGTGTCTGTGTGCATACGTGTGTGTATGTGTCTCCAAGCCCGCACCGCAGCACCCAGCTGCAATCAGCCCCCCCACCACACAAACAAACAACAAATCCCATCATTCAAAACTCGCCTCGCAATCGGGATCGAACAGGGAACCAAGTACGTCGGCGCCGTACAATGGCGGCCTCAGAGTGACGTTCTTCCAGTACTTGCGTTCAAGATCCCCCGGACCGGAGGCCGGGGGGGGGAGGTTCTCCGGAGCAAGAGCCTGCGGCGGCAATACGGATTATTATTATTATTATATATATATACCATTACAGTTGGCGTTACGGTCCTTTTACGTCGAGGTTGCGGTTGGAGGTTCGGTTAATCGGAGATCTGTACCTCAACCACGTCCCTTCTTAGGGCCTCATCGCACCTGCGGTCTGAAATCCCTGCTCAAGCTCATGGGCTTCTCCTCGATGTACAACCCCCTGTACAGCCCCCGACTGCCTGTGGCATGTTGCCTAATCGGGCGCTCGATGTTGAAGTCCAGGTCATCGGGGTAGCCCTGGTTGCCTCAGCGGTTGGTTCAGTTGGCAGTTGGACGGCGGTGGTTGGGCAGTCGTCAAGAGTAGCGGTTACGGATCAAGACGAGCACCACGCGCATCATATGCATGCATACACACAGAGAGAAAGAGATGCGTGTGCTTTTCAGGGTGCCACGAAATTGAGGACAACCGACGGAGGAACGGAAGATGGAAGTTGCGAGATCGGGGACACGGAGGACACACATGTGAGGCGGTGGTTACTGCTCAGAAGAGACGCGCAGTAGAGAGAAGAGAGAGAGGGGGAGAGAGGGACGGGAGAAGGGAGCGAGAGAAGAGGTTTCTTGGATCAGTTGGAGCCGGAGAGGAAGAGGAAGAGGAAGAGGACTGACGGGGAGTCCTGGCGGGGCCCCGGGGGAAAAGGGCGGTTGGGATCGGGGGTGGGTGGGTTGAGGGGGTTTGACCGTTCGTTGCGCGACGGTGAACTTCGTCTTTCAGCTCCTGTATGTGATTTTCATCTAGTATTCGCAAATTTGTAGATTTACACGGATGTTTTCGTGTTTTTGTAACATCGCCGATGCGTGCCTGTGTGCGTGTGTGTGTGTATTAATGTGCGCGTCTGTGTGGTTGGGGGTGAGTCGTCGGCGTACATGCAGAGCGCGTGCGGATGCGGAAAGTTGATGAGAGAGTCCGGGCGAAAAGGAGGATGGGAGATGAAGGCAGGAGAGCTTAATGAATACTGACAAGACGGAGAGATTTATGAGCGAATAAGTCGATGTGGAGAGATGCACTTTTACGGGGCTGGCATCTATGCTGTTAGGACAGCCGTCAGAGGTCGGACTCCATAAGCGGCGATGCAGAGATTTGAAAGTAAGTGAGCTGATCGTTTTGTAAGGGACAAGTCAAAAATGCGGATTACGCGCGAAACGCAAAAAGGAATCAGCTTCGCTCCTGTCGCGACAGCATGCTGATCCGCTATCTCAGGTATTTTAATTTGATGTGGAGGAAATCATGCCGCGCTGTATCGTTCAAATCAGCAACGAGAAATGTGTGTTAGGATCATTTGCGTGTGCGTTAGCCAAGAGAATGCAACCTTATCGGACTACCGTTACTTTGCCTAACCGTGGACAGAGCAATTCACTGTCACACCCATCAGGGCCCATGCATCCCCCCAGAACCTATTGGGAAAACATTTCAAGCCTAGATTTCTGCAAGCGTTAAAGTCAACCAGCAAGCTGCCCACCGCATGGCTCACCGCGTAAACGCTCCTGACTAAGCGTGCACCACATTTCACTAGAGCAAGTACACAAACATAGATCTTATATTCCCTCTTTATCCTTTCAGCAAGGCGTTTCACTCGACAGCGCACCTGCCGTCGCGGCGACCAGCCCTCCGGCGCCACAATCTTGGCTATTCCTGCTTGTGCTATTGAATATTCATGTTTTTCTATAAAGGCCTCAAATGGCTTCTGGATGTCCTCAAGCGTAGGGTAGAGCACTGGGCATTCCCTCATTGGCAGAGTGGCCCTAGCGTATGCGTGTGCGGCCACAAAAAAATCTTAGACGACCGCAAATCCTCAGATGTAAATGGCCCCTCACGCTCCTTTCAGTCTCGCCTAGCGGAAAACACCGGCCGCCTTTGTTGCCATAATAGTCTCCGTAGCTTAGATCCTAGTCCTTAGCGATTCGCTAGATAGACCTACCATGATTGGTCACCCGTAAGCCCTCCACCTTAGTCAGTTGTCCAGTAACAATATATGCCGTACCCCTCGATTGACAACATCGTTCCGCCTGACAAATCGCCAACGTCGGATTGCAAAGCATAGCACACAAACAACTCGTGCTGAAATCATTTCGCGTAACAGAAGCTAATAATAACCCAACACCCAGGACTAAAGCTGTCCCGAGCGGCGCATCCGAAAAGCACATGTTTCCGCTGCTGAGCTGAGCGTTTCCGATCCATCACGAAAATCCTTATAATCTACCGCTTTTCCGGCATCGGTCTCGCGGCAAGCGATGCTCTGTCCGCCCAGGCCCAGGCCCTTCAGCCTTCAGCAGCTGCTGATCTGCGTTTCGGCAATAGCTTTCGCGTTCAGTTCTGGGAGCGTCATCTGCGAGGCAAACCCAAGCGACTCCGTGAGGAGAGTGCTGCAGCGTTTGGACGCGCAATCGGACAGGTCGGCTGCTTGAAAAAGAGCGGGTTCCCCATTCCGGATGTTGCCGGGGGGGGTTCCCCAGGGCATAGAGGGCGGGGCCGAGTGCGCCCTCGCAGTCGCACATCATTTTCATGCGCATAATAGAAGGCACCACTGCCACCACTATATCCAAAACTGCGTTCTGTACGACGTTGTATGTTGAAACGGCGGCAATGAACGGCTAAATTCCGCTCCCGCCAAAAGTATCGTCCTGCTTGACGGTCATGTACGGCAGGTACGACAAGGACCTGGCGGAGTTCGTACAGTTTCCGTCTGTTTCGGCTCTTCCCGAGCACGCTGGGGACGTTCTAGCGGCGGCCGAGTGGCTGTCAGAGAGGCTGAAGACGGCCGGGCTGCAGGTCTGGTTGGTTGGTTAGTTAGTTGGTTAGTTAGTTGGCGTGGGTGTATGGGTTAGCGAGGCGCCGCCGTGCGCGAATGAGACCGAATGAGATGGTACATTCCCTCAGATAGCATCGCAGATAAATCATTCTAGTACTTTTCATCTTTTAAAAAATCTTTTCATCTTTTAAAAAAAATGAGAGATCCATAGTCCATCGTTGCTTCGCTGCCTGCGATTGTCTCCATACGCCTCCTGGCTCTTCTTATTTCCACATGTCAGTTGTCAGTTGTCAGTTATGTCACACACCAACACGTGGTGACGTTTGCGACGCGTCACACAGAATGTGGAGCTCCTGGCTACCGAAGGGCTGCAACCAGTAGTGTACGGCGAATGGCTGAACGCCACGGACTCGCATGCACCGACCGTACTGGTGTACGGCCACTACGATGTACAGCCGGTGGATCCGCTCGATGCCTGGGACACGCCTCCATTTGAGGTACGGCGTGTCGTACTTTATGCCATTAAGTTCTGCCGTACGTCACAGGAGGGGAAGGGCATGTGTCTGATGCAAGTGTACGGCGCCAGGGGGGTCGTTTGTGAAGGGAGGGATTTGGCGGGTGGGGCCCACAGAAAGTTTCCGGCAGGAAAAAGATGTGTGTGTGTATTTATGTGTTTCAGCGGCAGGTCAAGAGACCTCACGTCGCATGTCGAGAGGGGGATGGCCGGGGGTAAGGTTTTTTGTACGGCTGCCCCCGCTAAGTCCCCTTCCCAGCTCGCCTCACTGACCTTCTTCCCCCCGCCCCCCTCTTCCCGCCGCCCCCCTCTTTCCCCCGCTCCTCCACCCTCCTGCCCCCCTCTTCCCCCCTTCTGCAGGTAGTGAAGCGAGACGGCTACTTCTACGGTCGCGGGGTGGATGACGACAAGGGCGGTCTACTGCAGGCAGTACAGGTACGACATAAGCCAGCGACACGCATACACTCACGTCTGTACACGCGTCCGCATGTGCATAGACACACCCTCCCACACACATACACACACATACACACACATACACATACATACACACACATACACATACATACACACACATACACACACATACACACACATACACACACATACACACACATACACACATACACATACATACACACACATACACACACATACACACACATACACACACATACACACACATACACACACATACACATACATACGCACACATACACATACATACGCACACATACACACATACACACACATACACACACATACATACACACACGCGCGCGTGCGTGCGCGCGTGCGGGGCCCCTCCCCGCCGTACACACAGCCTGTTAAGTAACCTCCCGCACTCATAAAGCTACGGTATACAGCTGGCCTGAAACCCTGCGTGTACTGCAACGGCGCGCAAAAACCGATGCAGGCGGTTGAGGCGTGGCTCCAGGAGACAGGTGCCGTACCGGTCAACGTCAAATTCCTTCTGGAGGTGGGGGAAGTTGGGTTGGGACGGCCCCCGGGTTATGTAGGTATGTACGTATGTAGGTATGTAGGTAGGTAGGTAGGTTTAGGGGCCCGTGTCGTTCCTGTCAAACCCCCAATGGTTTTTTATAACCACCACCCCAACCACCCCAACCAACTTATCTTTCAGGGTCAAGAGGAGATCATGTCCCCCCACCTGAACTCCTTCCTGCACCGCCACGCCGCCCGGCTGGCGGCCCGGCTGGCGCTGTCGGCGGACGGAGGCCAGCCGGCTCCTGATCAGGGGGGCATATCACTGGGGCTCCGGTAAGCGAAAATACTTGCGTGCATGTGCGTGTGTGTATGTATGTGTGTGTACATGTATGTATGTATGTTTGTACGTATTTGTGCGTTATATGTATCTGCTGCCATACCTTTTACTTTGGTTTCGGTACGGCACCATGATCTATTCGATGACCTGCCAACTGGCAAAGCACTGGCCCGAATTGATTGTCTAGAGGCCTTGCTGAAGGCGGGGGTGAGGGTGAGGATGAGGGTGAGGGTGAGGGTGGGAATGTTTCCACGCCCACCCCAACTGTCATATGGGCTTTCCATGTATTGTGTCTAACGTAATCCACATCTGCTTGTCTGTCTGTGTGTCTGTCTGTGTGTCTGTGTGTCTGTGTGTCTGTCTGTCTGTCTGTCTGTCTGTCTGTGTGTCTGTCTGTGTGTCTGTCTGTCTGTCTGTCTGTCTGTCTGTCTGTCTGTGTGTCTGTCTGTCTGTCTGTCTGTCTGTCTGTGTGTCTGTTTGTGTGTCTGTCTGTGTGTCTGTCTGTGTGTCTGTCTGTGTGTCTGTCTGTCTGTGTGTCTGTCTGTATGTATGTATGTATGTATGTCCCTCTTCAGCGGTGTGGTGAGCTTGCAGGTGGATGTGGTGACGGCGGATACAGACCTGCACAGCGGCATGAAGGGCGGGTCCTCACCCAACCCCAACCAAGTGCTAGCGGAGCTGCTGGCAGGGCTACACGACCCGACTACACGGGCGGTGGCGGTGGAGGGATTCTACGAGGCACGGCCGGGCGGGGGGGGGAAAAGAACATATCGTACTGTACGACATGTACACTCTGTCTGCATCTCTGTATATGTACGCGCTTAAGGATTTTTTCTCCACGGACAGAACAACATGCCGTACTGCCGTACGTAGGATGTGGAGCCCATCACGGACTTGGACCGCATGGACATGGAGATGTACGGCTTTGACCCTGAAAAGGTGAGTATCAGGGCCTTGTGTGTGGGGAGGGGTAAGACGAACATTTGTTTGCGGGAGATGTGGAGGGTTGGGGGGTAAGGGATGAGTAGTTGGTTGTGATGGTGGTTGTGGCTGTGAATGTGATTGCGGTGGCGGCGGCAGCCGGGAAGTGATGCGTGGTGGTTGGAATGGTGGTGATGCCCTTTGACAGAGCTTGAGGCTCAGGAGTGCCTCTCGGCTGGTTTTGAAGTTCAGTACATCTCCGGGTCTTAACAATTTCAACGAATTTTAACGAATTTTAACGAATTTTAACTTTTAACGAACTTTTATCTCCTCGCGCATGTTCTTCTGCGCGGTAACCAGGAAAACGCCAAATGACTTGCAGTTCCTTGTTGCGCAATCAATCACAAAGAAATAGTTTAAAATTATCTAACGTCCCGATACCCTTAAAAATGTGATAGATACGGTTGTCCGTGTTGTCCGCACCCCTCCGCTTTGGTAATCCTATTTCTTCCCCCGTTTGTGTGGTGGCATGATGATGAGGGTCAAACACGTGCGCTTCTCCATCCTCTCCAGAGTCGCCCCGCAACTTCCTAACACACTCCCCACCTGCCAGCCAGCGGTTCGTCTTTCCCCCCCAAGCCCCCCACACACATAACCCCCAAGCCCAAGCCCAAGCCCAAGCCCAACTCCCGCCCGCCCCTACCCCTCAGGAAGCCCGGGAACTGGGGTTACTCGCCCACGTTGGGGAGGAAGGATACAGCATCCTTGAGCAAAGGTACGGTGTACGGAGTACGGTGTACGGAGCAGGGACGGTTGGTGGGGTTTGGTTGCGCTACCTCTCCCCTCCTTCCCAGCAGCTTCACTCGTTTGTGGTTCGTCTTTCCCCCCTTTCCCACCTCGCCCCCTTCCCCCCTTCCCACCTCCTCCCCTTCCCACCCCACCTTCCCACCTCCCCCCACTGGACTTTCCCCAGGTGGCACAGACCGACCCTGGAGGTGGTTGGCATGACCGGCGGCTTCACGGGTGCGGGTATCAAGACCGTCATTCCCCGGACGGCCATGGCCAAGATCAGCTGCCGTCTGGTGCCTAATCAGGCACCGGGGCGGGTGCTGGAAAAGGTGGGGCAAATGTGCGGGTTTTAGGGCGCGAGGGGCTCCCGGGATATGGATTTCGGATTTGGGTGTGTTGGCCTACAAAGGGTGTCTACCTTTACCTTTAGGGGGTGGGGTCATATGCTGGTGGTGGTGGTGGTGGTGGTGGTGGTGGTGGTGGTGGGTGAG